CTGGGCCGTTACGTCGACGGTCGGGGACGCTAACTCGAACTCCTACTGGAAGATGAGCGTCTACGTCAGGATCCACGTCAGAGCTCCGTCACAGCGTCGCGACGAGGCTTACCCCGCCCGTCGCCTCCCCGCGTATCACTCCGCCGCCTCCCGCCGCTGCCAAATGTCACCACCTTTCATCATATTTCGTTATTTTTCGCCTTATTTACCCCTATTCCCTCCCTCAATACATCACATAAAACCCCCCAAAAAATCCCCATTTACACCCCCCATCAATTTCCACCATTTATATAACTATTTCCACCCTTGATATCACTCTCAATCCTCACTAGGATTGAGAACTCTGGTCTGTTATTGAACGGATGTTTATTAAATTATTCCATTAATGTTAAGGAGTTATGTAGGGTTCCCATCCACTTACCGTACTGAGATACAAGACGCTTTGTGATTGGTTGATGGTTGTTGCGTCATGTATTTCTATTGGTTGACCGTGTCATGTTCTGTTCCCTGGAAAAGTATGACGTAAGCTCTGAGGATCTCCCCGGAAATAAATCATTAATGACACTTATTTTAGGTGTTTAAGGTTTTGGGTTTGTTACTTTTATTATCATATGGGATGCGTGATTTTGGTTTTTTAAAAGTCGATAAAAAATTCTTACCGGCCATGAAGAACTAGTTTTATATGCGTAGACGAGTACTAAGGCCGTGTTGAAACACTGTTTAGTAATTTATAACAATATTCAAAGTATATTTGTGCATAGTTGACAAGTAAATCTTACATTGACTACTTTAATGAATATAATGTTTATTTTCCGCTAGAGATCAAGCGCTTTATTAGAATAAATCAGCGATTCCGGGAATTACAAGTGCGGTTATTAATATTCTATGTATTCACTAAAAAATATGAATTGCTTAGCTTAAAGTACGTGAAGCTATAATTGACATTCAAACTTCTTTGCCACTCGTCCCCACAATGGCTACATGAGGCCCATAAATAAACTCATTAACCCAGTGGAGATGGACTCACATAAGTTCTTGTGATAAGGTGATGTTAATTGGATACAATATTCAGGGAACACACACACTCCCTCTGTGTGTGTGTGTGTGTGTGTGTGTGTGTGTGTGTGTGTGTGTGTGTGTGTGTGTGTGTGTGTGTGAAAAAAATTAGTTAGTAGTTTGTAACAGTTGATTGATTGACAGTTGAGAGGGGAAGCCGAATGAACAGAGCTCAACCCCCGCAAGCACAACTAGGTGAATACACACATCCCCAGGATGGCACCTATTTACTGCTAGGTGGACAACTATAAGGTGAAAGCAACTCTGCCCCTGCCTCGATCGGGAAACGACTCTTTAAGACTACGATCCCAGAGAGGCCGATCCCACATGGCTGGGAGTTGTGTGTGTACATACGTATATATAAGGCAGCGTCTGGGATGCTCTCGGACGCAGGTTCGAATCCTCGTCACGGCCCTTGTGGATTTGTTCATACGTAAAGTTTATTGAGGTAATGAAATACATCTTAAAGGGATAGAGTAGCTTGGGCTATTTCTACCCTTGTCTATTTAAGATCAACCTCTTGGGCTGGACGGTCTCGCGTCATGCAGGTCGGCGTTCAATCCCCGACCGTCCAAGTGGCACCATTCCTTCCCCCGTCCCATCCCAAATCCATATCCTGATTGATTGATTGATTGATGAAGATTAAGCCACCCAAGAGGTGGCACGGGCATGAATAGCCCGTAAGTGTTGGCCCTTTCGAGCCATTACCAGTATCAAAAGATGATACTGGAGATCTGTGGAGGCGCAACTGCACCCTGCGTGACGGGAGATGTCTCCCGGACCAAATGGTGACCAAATGGTCCCATATCCTGAGACCTTCCCAGTGCTATATAGTCGTAACGGCTTGGCGCTTTCCCTCCCCTGATAATTCCCTTCCCCTTGTTCCTATTTCTTCAATTTCTCGTATTTAATAATAATAATAATAATATTTAATATCCCTAAAGGGGCACACACATACATAGAATACACAAATATTAATCATATTTTACATTTCAAATTCCATTAGTAATCACCGTAGTATACTGTGAGATCTCTTATTGATTGTGCTGCCCCTGTCATTTATTGTTTTGGTAGAGGTGAACATAAGAACAAAGGTAACTGCAGAAGGCCTATTGGCCCATACGAGGCAGCTCCTATTTATAACCACCCAATCCCACTCATATACATGTCCAACCCGCGCTTGAAACAATCAAGGGACCCCACCTCCACCACGTTACGCGGCAATTGGTTCCACAAATCAACAACCCTATATAGTCTTATTTATACATGTTGGAAAAGGTACAAAATAAGGCCATGAGAATAATCTTGGGATGCCCCCCAAAATCCTGTGATTGAGATAATGAGGATGGCATTGAACTTACAGAATATTTGGGGAGAGAATTTTAGAGATATAGGTAGCTTCGGCGATTAGATTAATGAGAGGCTTGGGAGCCCACTAATCTAATCGCCTAGATTAGAGGTGAGAGCTTAATCCTCTCACTTCAAAAAGTGAAAAAAATGAACAATGCATATTAAGGTATAATAAGAGAGCGTATATGGGATCCTTATGCTCTAATGTTACAAAAGTATGATGTCAAGAATGTATTTTTTAGCTTTAGTTTAGCTAGCTTCTTATTTATCCTAAACAGAGAATTATTCTTACGTTATAACTCTATATTATTTTATACCCTGGCTTAAAATAGCATCCCGTTCTCAGGTTAATTAGTATATTAAAGAACTGAGTATACAGTTAGTGTGTTTTGGTACTGTTTAATGTAATGTAACCTAACCTAACCTATCATAGCCTATCTTGACCTCATTCTGTTGTTCAAGATCCATAAATACAATAAAATACTAATTAAACTTAATGAGTTCTTGAATTATTAAGGTAAAGCTAAAATAGCAACCCATCCTCAGGCTTGTTTATTAAAAACTAAGTACATTTTGCTATTTAGAAAATGCATTTATGAGCCTAATGATTTTAACGTGTTCATCCATCCTGTTTAAACCACCTGAATACTAATTGAGATATTTGTGATGTTCTGGAGGCGTATTAAGGTTCCATAAATAGTCTTTTGGTCAACTGGCAAGTGAACCTTTGCCCGAAACAAAGATTATTCTCAAGTTCCAACTTTGTTACTTTAAAAACCCAGGTTTTATAATTAACTAAGTTTCTGTTATATACGTTTTCTTTGACAAACCTTAAGGCCAACATTTTCTTTAATGTCAAATTCTTGGACACTCAAACAGGAAAGAATTTCACGTTTCACTTAATTCATTGGGGACAGGAAGCCAGAGTGTATTCATACACGTTTGGCTTTTATCGAGGTCCCCCCCCCCCCAAGGCCGAATTACAGACCCTGCCCAGGACACAACCACACAACAAGCTGACTAACTCTTGAGTACCGACTCACTGCCAGGTGAACAGAGGCATTAGGTGAAAGAAAATGTGCCCAACCATTTCTGTCCCACCCGGGACTCGAACCCGGAATTCTCGATTGTACGTCAAGAACAAACCCGACTATATTACCGGGATTCTTGACTTGTTTGAGAATGTAATTTATTGGCAATTCACGTAACCTAAGCAAGGATATATATATATATATATATATATATATATATATATATATATATATATATATATATATATATATATATATATATATATATATATATATATATATATATATATATATATATATATATATTATTAAATATGACCGAAAAAGTAAGATTAATGATTCTAACACGAATTTTCTCAAACTTTCGTACATTTCTTTTCACTGTTGGAGGTAATTCAAAAATCAATTCTCCAAAATTCATTTTTATTTCTAGTCTGACGCGACACTTGAGCACGTTTCGTAAAACTTATTACATTTTCAAAGACTTTACACATACACAACTGAATAGAACTTACATATCTCCGATTTGTTTATATCTACATTTGAGTGAGGTGGAATTTAATAGGGTATTAATTTCATCAACACAAGACAGAACACGAAACAATGGGTATTGAAATGGAAGTGATTGTAGAAAGCCTATTGGTCCATATGGTTCTCCAATGGTTTCGTCGAAGACATCATAAGGAAAGTGAAACGCCATGCAACCTCTGAAGAGACAACTAACACAACACCTATACCCCCTATTAGACTATTTTACAGGAACTTCTTTTCCACAGCTCATAAAACGGAGGAAAGGGTCCTGAAAGATATTGTTAATAGAAACGTTATCCCTACAGACAAAAATCAGAGGATACAACTGACGATTTACTATAAAACCAGAAAAACGGCCAGCCTACTCATGAGAAACTCTCCAGACACAAAGCAGAACGCTTTAAAAGAGACCAACGTCGTCTATGCCTTCAAATGCCCACTTGGGGACTGTAAGCTCCAAAAAACCCAGTATATAGGCAAGACAACAACATCTCTTTCTAGGCGTTTAACGATGCATAAGCAACAGGGCTCCATTAAGGAACATATAATTTCTTCCCACAACCAAACCATCGCCAGAGAAATCCTAGTAAACAACACAGAAATCATCGATAGGTACAGCGATAGCAGACGGCTTGACGTTTGCGAGGCACTGCACATTAAGAAGTCAACACCAGCAATCAACAGCCAATTAATGCACAACTATATTCTACCCACCTCAAGACTCCGCTCCAATATAGAAGCATCAAGAAATATGGACCAATAGGCTTTCTACAATCACTTCCATTTCAATACCCATTGTTTCGTGTTCTGTCTTGTGTTGATGAAATTAATACCCTATTAAATACCACCTCACCCCATCCTCCTCACTCAAATGTAGATATAAACAAATCAGAGATGTGTAAGTTCTATTCAGTTGTGTATGTGTAAAGTCTTTCAAAATGTAATAAGTTTTACGAAACGCGCTCAAGTGTCGCGTCAGACTAGAAATAAAAATGAATTTTGGAGAATTGATTTTTGAATTACCTCCAACAGTGAAAAGAAATATACGAAAGAATGAGAAAATTCGTGTTAGAATCATTAATCTTACTTTTTCGGTCATATTTAATAATATATGTCTACAGGAAAGACTGCTACCAAAATATACTAATATTAAAGCGCACGACCCAGCAGCAAGGAATCAAGCCTTCACGATAAAATATCGCCAGGATCTAATTCGTGATCAGATATACAAGGCAGAAATGAAATCAAAGACAACAAAACGCAACTACTTCATGCTACAAACGAGTGGAGAAATAGCAACATCGACGAAAGTATGCGTACCCGCATTGAACAACACCTCGACATCCTCACAGACCGACATCACCTCAGCACTGAAACAAGGATTATCAAGAAACTAACAACATTATATGGAGGACCTATGGCAATTCCACGACCAAGAGATGGCTTCCTGAACCTTGCAGGAATTAACCTCACTGAGGACCAAGTCACTCTCCTAAATCTGGGCATAAACTGTTATGTTATGTCCAGACCGAGTTAGATGGCCCGGAAAGTAGAGTTGGAAATTCTGTTGGACGACATCTTCGACCTCGAGACACAAAAGAAGGTCACTACCAAAGATACCTTACAAGCAGAACTTATTGCAGAAGGAGGAAAGAATCGAGGCAATTACAGAAAGCACCATACTGTTCCCCGAGCTCAAAGCGGCAGCTAAAAGCCTTCGTGAGAACAAGGAGATAGTTGTCAGGAGAGGTGACAAGTCGCCAATATATGTCATTCTTAAAAAAGACGAATATCTGGCGAAAATGAACCTCATACTCTCTGACCTAACTAAGTTCCAAAGGGTAACGAAGGACACTACAGCCGAATTAAAAGCAAAGGTCAACAAACTGATCGAAACTGTGAACGCCAAGAAATCCGGATTCCACCTGCCAAAGATCATTGGGGAATATAAACCTGGATATGCGTATGGAAATGTCAAGACACACAAGCCTGGAAACCCACTTCGGCCAATCATTAGCCAGATACCCACACCCACGTACAAACTGGCGAAGCGACTCAACAGCCTGCTGACTCCTTATGTTCCTTGCGCCTTCAGCCTGAAGTCTCCAAAGGAATTTGTTGACTTACTGCGGGGCACACGGGCCACAGGGATAAGAGCCTCGTTGGACGTAGAATCGCTGTTTACCAACGTACCTGTGGACGAGACAATCGGGATGATAGTCGACAGAGTGTATCGTGATCCAGCCTGTACTCCTCTTGACATACCAGAAAATATTCTGAGGAAACTACTCCAAGCTTGCACTAAAGAGGCACCCTCCACATGTATAAGCAAGTAGATAGGGTCGCCATGGGTTCTCCCCTAGGTGTCCTGTTTGCAAACTTCTACATGGGTACCATCGAGCAAAAAGTCTTAGTCGACATGAACTTGAAACCGGCCATATACTGCAGGTATGTTGACAACATTTTTACACAGGTACCTGATGTCAGACATCTGCAGGAGCTGAAGGAGGCATTTGAGCAGAGTTCCGTGCTGCGTTTCACTTACGAGATGGAAAAGGATGGGAAGCTGCCCTTTCTAGATGTAACAGTCATGGAAAAGAGCGGAGGTTTCCACACTGCAGTCTACACTAAGGAAACGAACATAGGAATGTGCCTAAATGCCAACAGCGACTGCCCAGACAGGTACAAGAGGAGTGTTGTTAACACATATGTCGACCGTGCTCTCAGCCACAGCTCAGAATGGAAGCAAGTTGACGAAGAACTCTGTAGGGTAAGGCAGGTCCTAGTCAACAACGGCTTCTCCAATGGTTTCGTCGAAGACATCATAAGAAGGAAAGTGAAACGCCATGCAACCTCTGAAGAGACAACTAACACAACACCTATACCCCCTATTAGACTATTTTACAGGAACTTCTTTTCCACAGCTCATAAAACGGAGGAAAGGGTCCTGAAAGATATTGTTAATAGAAACGTTATCCCTACAGACAAAAATCAGAGGATACAACTGACGATTTACTATAAAACCAGAAAAACGGCCAGCCTACTCATGAGAAACTCTCCAGACACAAAGCAGAACGCTTTAAAAGAGACCAACGTCGTCTATGCCTTCAAATGCCCACTTGGGGACTGTAAGCTCCAAAAAACCCAGTATATAGGCAAGACAACAACATCTCTTTCTAGGCGTTTAACGATGCATAAGCAACAGGGCTCCATTAAGGAACATATAATCTCTTCCCACAACCAAACCATCGCCAGAGAAATCCTAGTAAACAACACAGAAATCATCGATAGGTACAGCGATAGCAGACGGCTTGACGTTTGCGAGGCACTGCACATTAAGAAGTCAACACCAGCAATCAACAGCCAATTAATGCACAACTATATTCTACCCACCTCAAGACTCCGCTCCAATATAGAAGCATCAAGAAATATGGACCAATAGGCTTTCTACAATCACTTCCATTTCAATACCCATTGTTTCGTGTTCTGTCTTGTGTTGATGAAATTAATACCCTATTAAATACCACCTCACCCCATCCACCTCACTCAAATGTAGATATAAACAAATCGGAGATATGTAAGTTCTATTCAGTTGTGTATGTGTAAAGTCTTTGAAAATGTAATAAGTTTTACGAAACGCGCTCAAGTGTTGCGTCAGACTAGAAATAAAAATGAATTTTGGAGAATTGATTTTTGAATTACCTCCAACAGTGAAAAGAAATGTACGAAAGATTGAGAAAATTCGTGTTAGAATCATTAATCTTACTTTTTCGGTCATATTTAATAATATATGTCTACAGGAAAGACTGCTACCAAAATATACAAATATATATATATATATATATATATATATATATATATATATATATATATATATATATATATATATATATATATATATATATATATATATATATATATATATATATATATATATATATATATATATATATATATATATATATATATATATATATATATATATATATATATATATATATATATATATATATATATATATATATATATATATATATATATATATATATATAATTATATATATATGGAGCATTATAAAATCTAAAGTCTAGGTTCATTATAGAATATACGGTAAAGAGAGCATAACAGAATATACACTTATACAGACAACAAACAAAAAAAACATGAGAATTCAGCTGGGATAAATAGGTGTATATCCTTGAAGTATAAATATACATTCACACACCTTATGGGCGGGCGTGGGCGTGAGGTAGGGTTGGGTGGCGTCGCTGGCTGTCAGTGGCAGTTGGTTAGCGTGAGCTGCTACACCTGCGTCCGCATCCTCCCTCCCCTTGTTCACCATACACGCCGTACAATATACAACATTCTAGCAGGATACAGGACCCCGTCGGTCCTGTATCCACCCGAGCTGATATCCTAGGATTATTCTCCGCAACGACAGTCATATATACACCTGTTAATAGATCTGGGGTGCTCCATACATGTGGCTCCGGCTCATACGAGTGTTGTCAGGCCACACCAGGCTTGCTGCTTCTCAAGAGAGTCGGATAGGAGACACGTACAGGTAAGAGTGTCTGGTAATTGACTGATAGTCTCTGAGTATAATGATCTATGTACCGGCTTTTGTGTTGTGGTGTGTTGTAGCGATGTGTTGTATTCTAGTGATGTGTTATAGTGATTTGTTGTGTTGTGCTGTGCTATGTTGTTGTCATGTGTTGATTTGTGTTGTACTGAAGTTTTGTGTGGGGGGGGGGGAGAGAGAGAGAGAGAGAGAGAGACTATCTTAGCTCTGATTGCTACATTGGCACTGGACACGGTTGGGTGGGTAACTAATTATGTGCATATTGTGTATACTGCAGAATTAGCAGTGAAACACCGTTGGTGTAGAGCCAACCAGCAAGTTCCCTGGCACTGCCTCGTATTGCTGCCTGCTCAGTGCCACTAACCTCTCATATCTGGCGCACACACCTGGCACCAAGTGAGAACCCTCCTTCATCCCCCCCCCCACTCCCTCTCTCCCTCCTTCCCCTCAGATGAACCAAGAATTAGGAGGGGTGAAGTATATGATGTGCGCACGCGCGCACACACACACACACGCACGCGCGCACACACACACACACACACACACACACACACACACACACACACACACACACACACACACACACACACACACACACACACACACACACACACAGGAATCTGTACACCTGTTGATTGACGGTTGAGAGGCGGGACCAAAGAGCCAGGGCCCAACCCCCGCAAGCATAACTAGGTGAATACACACTCACCTGCATCAGTCACTTTACATTATCCACCTTCCGGTTACCTTACGACGATTTCGGGTCTTAACGTTCCTGCGGCCCGGTCCCCGACCAGGCACGATGGTATTATTATTATTATATTGAGGAAATCCGCTGGAGCCATGATGTGGATTTATTTAGAATCCATTTAGATCTGGATCTAAATACGGGAATCTGGGAACACCAAACGCATAGGTTCGAATCCACTTCACGGCTCTTGTAGATGTTCTCACTGATATATTGATATATTATTATTTTTATTATTATTAGCTATTAATTATTTTTTATATTCACATAAATTTCGCTCAGTCCTGAAATTATCTGTCTCACTCTGAAGTTGTCTCACTCTAAAGTTATGTTTCACTCTAAAGTTATCTGTCTCACCCTGAAGTTACCTGCTTTGCCCTAAAATTACCTGGTTCGTCCTGAAGTCACCTGGTTTGACCTGAAGTTAGAATCGGGCTTAACTTTAAGGATGTATATTCAATGAATTCATAGCTAGTCAGTTCTAACTAAACTTCAACTATATTCTAAAGTTAACGGACCAATTCCTGAAGTTAGCTGCTGAATTTTGAAGTTTCTAAAAAAAAACAAAAAAAATTCCTGGTCTGTCAAGAAGTTAGTTTCTCAGTCCACAAAGAACTCGCCTGACAATTACTCCTGAAATTGACTTAGTCCGTTCTGACTATTAGAGAAGTCATTTTGTCAGCTCTAATCTATCAAACTGTAGTGTAGTGAGCGTGTGTTCATTCCAGTAGTGATCTTGTGAGTCTAGGATCAGCTCAGTAGTGATCAGCTCAAGTTTGAGATAACTTGAGATAACTCTTGAAGGATCTGGTAGACTCTGATAGTTCTTGTATCAGGATAATCCTTGAATCGTGATTCCCGAAGCACTGTTGTGTCGTCAGGTGTGGAATTTACCTCGTCAGGTGTGGAATTACCTCGTCAGGTGTAGAATTACCTCGTCAGGTGTGGAATTACCTCGTCAGGTGTGAAGCTATCTCACTAGTGACCTCGGCTGATTGCCCTCAGGTGACTGACTTCAACTTATTCACCTCAACTGATTAACCTCAGTCGATTAGCCTCATCCTTCTGACCTCAGCTGACTTGTTCCACAGGGTTCGCCATTAGGCAGCCGGGCGCCATTACAAGATGTTCCTGGCACGATTAGTGACCTCAGCGCTGGTGGCAGCTACAGTTGGCACTCTCCTCAGCGGTGCCACTCAAGGTCAGTGTTATTATGGTGCCTGTTGTTGTTGTTATAGATTCAGCTACTCGAAACAAGTTCCAAGTAGCACGGGCTATGGTGAGCCCGTAGTAGACTTACCTGGCACAGGGGCGGTGCTCGATTATGGTGTCGTAGCGCGGTCGATATGGAGATTCACACACACACGACATCGCATCATGTCATATCGTAAATACGACTAACTGTTGCATCACGTGGAACCATCAAGCAACTGAGACTAAAGTGCTTGTCATGAGCTGTCACTTAAACACGTGTCAATCATCCACTCTTGACAAACTCAGCCAATAATGCCTTAATTCCTCCCAAGAATTAGTTGCTGCAGCACGCCGCCAGCGGGAGCCTAGTCCCTGTGACTGTTGTGGTTTATAAGTTTTTCTTTAAACGATAATTTGGTGGATTGAATAAACGAAATAAGATTTTTTATATACGAAAATTTGGTGGATTACATAAACGAAGTAAAATTTGTTTTAAACTGAAAATTGGTGGATTAAATTAACGAATTAAATTGTCTTTAAATGAAAATTTGGTGGATTAAATAAACGAATTAAATTTCTTTAAATGAAAATTTGGTGGATTAAATAAACGAATTAAATTTCTTTAAACGAAAATTTGGTGGATTAAATAAACGAATTAAATTTCTTTAAACGAAAATTTGGTGGATTAAATAAACGAATTAAGTTGTCTTTAAATAAAAATATGATGGATTAAATAAACGAATTAAAAATTTCATTAAACGAAAAGGTTCTGGATTTCTGTCGAAATAAACTTATAATCTAACAGCCAAGGATTGACTTGGTGCTAAACTGACGCTTTTTGGCCGGTGTGTGAGCGGTGTGGCCCGCGACTCTAGATTTGCCACTCCGTAGAAAGTGTTTTGGCGTAACAGACACGTGTGAACTTTAGCCATACCTAACCTATTGGGGCCAGTGCATAGAAAATGACAGTATTAGAGTGCTTATGTAGCATTGTTAGCGGATTGATCGATTTCGTATAAATTACGGTATATTAGGTAAGAGGAGAGGGTGCTAGGAATATAAAGAGAGAGAGAGAGAGCGAGTGTTTAGCCGAGAACCACTAACACTAGTGGCCTCGACGAGGACATGAAGCCGGCGGCTTGTCGAAGGTCCCCCATTTGCCTTGCTGAGGTTTTCTAGCTGTAGACAATCGACTTGAGAATGGTCCAGGACGGACCGAAACGTCGTCGTCTCTTCACCTTCTAGTGTGTGGTCTGGTCAACTTTCTAGCTGTACTTTAAAAGTTAACAGAAATTTAACATTTACGGCTTTGGCGGGTAGGCGGTTCCATGGGTTAATATTCCTCAGGGTGAAATAACTATTCTCAGTCCTACATTGTGGCTTGTTGAGCTTGAAACCGTTGCTTCTTGTTTGTGATACATCTGTCTGTCAATAAGAATGTCTGCCTGTGTGTTAAAGACCAAACTCGTGGAGGCTGTGCTCACCCAACTTTGCAGGGGGAATGGTCTGGAGTACGGGATGGACATAATCTGGTCGGGGTCACCAGAATTCAAGAGGGAACAGAGTGCCGGAGCCACATACTGACCCATATGGCTGATTTTAGCACTGCCCGCCAGCTAAGCCTAACTATATATTTCAAAAATCAAAATTTCAATTTTTGTTTTGTTTCAAACAGTAATGAGGAAAATTATGCACTGATTTCGGGGAAAATTAATAGAAAAATTTCTCATCATTCTTTCCTCGTATTACCATAAAACAGACGAAGCTTCTTCAGCTTGAGAGGCTTTCTTAAACTCAGCGCCGTTCTCAAAGTCAAAGGGAGACTATTATATATTAATGATTACACCGCTAGTCGGACCATCAGCATGACAACGGAAAACTATTATATTATTATATGACATAATATATATGAAAAAGAAAGACAGGCAGAAACAGACATTTAGAGACAGATATATCGCTAGAAATACAGACAAACAGACAGAGATAGACCTGTAGAGAGGCCGTGTTGACTCGAGAGAGAAGCAGGAAAACAGACAACACAGCCAGCCACATGACTGATAGAGATAAGGAGAGAAGAAAGGAGAAGGAAGAGAGAAGAGTTAGGGAAGGTTTGACGAGAGGGAAGAAGAGAGAGGAGGAGAAGAGAGGCGAAGAAAGTGGGGTAAAAGGGGAAAGGAGGAGTGGGGAGAGAGTCCCGGGCGCAGCCGGGTATCCCCTTCCGCCTTAGTATCCTGTAATTGCCAAAATGGAATTACCTGATACTAAATAATTACCAGGTAGATTGTTTGGGTTCGTACGTTCGGGACAGATTCACGAAGCAGTTACGAAAGTACTTACGTACGTGTGCATCTTTCCTCAATCTTTGACGGCTTCAGTTACATTTATTATAGAGTTTACAAGCATGAAAACTTACCAATCAACTGTTGTTATTGTTATAAACAACCTCCTGGTACTTCAGAGCTCATTAACTGCTTAATAATCGTAAACACAACTGCCAAAAATTGAGAAAAGATGTACAGGTTCGTAAGTGCTTGTGTATCTGGCCTCTAAGAAAAAACGATTGCATTTTTTACGGAGCGGCAAATCGAGAGAATGAAATTCAGACAGGATGGAAAAGTTATCTTGTAGAGTGTTTAAGAATGTTATCATATGGATACTCGCGTGTGATTATTGTGTGTGTGTGTTATTAACAGTTCCCTTGACCTAAGTGACCTAGTGATCCCATCCCACGACCAGAGTGACTGGTGACCCCATCCCATGACCAAATATATTGGTTCCCTATCCCACAAGCAAAGTGACCAAAGTGACTGCTGACTCCTCAACAGAGGGCCAGGAGCTGATGAAGGCCGCAAGGGAGGGTGACCTGGACGCCCTGAGGGCGCTGCTTGCCGAGGGCGCCTCCGTTCACTTCAGGGACGCCGCAGGTCGGTCAAGGCATCTTAGGGCTAAGTTCGACATATGTTTAGATTAGGTTAGGGTAGGTCTAGTTTAGGTTAGAATAGGTTATATCTAGGATATGTTAGGTCTAGGTTAGAATAGGTTATATCTAGGATATGTTAGGTTAGCTTAGGTTAGGCATACGTTAGTTAGGTTAGGCCCAGGTTAGCTTAGGTGAGATCTAGGTTAGCTTAGGTTAGGCCTAGGGTAGGCTTAAGATAGTTTAAACTAGTTTAAGTTAGGTTAGTCTTAGGTTTGATTATAACAGGTTAGGTCTAGGGTAGGTTATGTCTAAGTTGGGTTAGGCCTAGGTTTGATTAGTATAGGTTAGGTTTTGCCAAGATTTGGCTAGGTTAAGTTAGGCTTACAATAGGTTAAGTTGATATGTTTAACTTTAGCTCACGAAGTTAATATTTCATATGTATACTCTATATGTATAAGCGAATAAAGGGTGGGAAATATTATCCCAAACACATATTTACCGAATTACACACACAAAAAATATATATAAATCCCACAGGAACTTTGGAGAGTGAATAACAAGGGAAACAAAGATAAAACAAAGCACTCCCAAATGTGTGGAACCTAAGTTAGAGTTAAAACTTGGTCATTGAAAACGGAAGTAAGTTAGCTCACAGAAAACGAAAAAATGGGAGATATTTTAAACATTTGGGCTGTCTTTAAATGGGGAAAACTTTATAACTTGTAAGAATTGGTACCAATTTAATGTTTTGGAAAATGGTGTAAATATTCACTTTGTATCAAGAACATAATGTTGTTCAGATGTGGGGTTCAGAGAGCATACAACACAGTGTACATGAGAGGTGTACAAAGTAGTAGAGACAGATGTACAGAGTACTAGAGAGCACTAGAACAGGTGTACAGAGGACTAGAGAGCACTAGAACAGGTGTACAGAGGACTAGAGAGCACTAGAACAGGTGTACAGAGGACTAGAGAGCACTAGAACAGGTGTACAGAGGACTAGAGAGCACTAGAACAGGTGTACAGAGGACTAGAGAGCACTAGAACAGGTGTACAGAGTAATAGAACACAAATCTAAAGAGCAATAGAGACACAGGTTTACATAACCCTAGAGACACAGGTGTACAGAGGACTAGAGAGCACTAGAACTGGTGTACAGAGTAATAGAATATAAATGTAAAGAGCAGTAGAGACACAGGTTTACATAACACTAGAGACACAGGTGTACATAACACTAGAGACACAGGTGTACATAACACTAGAGACACAGGTGTACATAACACTAGAGACACAGGTGTACATAACACTAGAGACACAGGTGTACATAACACTAGAGACACAGGTGTACATAACACTAGAGACACAGGTGTACATAACACTAGAGACACAGGTGTACAGAGAACTAATGTAGAGACACAGCTGAAGAGAGCACTAGACAGAGGCGTATAGAACACTAGAGACACAGGTGTCATTGCACTAGACACAGATGTACGATATATTAGATAAGGAAGTGTACACAATGGGTAGTATTGACAGCTGTACACACAGGTCAGACGGCACTGCAGGTGGGGTCGAGGAGAGGGAGTATGGCACTCGTCAAGGCACTGCTGGAACTCAACGCCGACGTCGACCACTCCGACAATTGGGGTATGTCTATCCCTCACTTGTATACCTACTGTGACTAGACCACACACTAGAAAGTGAAGAGACGACGACGTTTCGGTCCGTCCTGGACCATTATCAAGTCGGTTGTGATAAGCGACTTGAGAATGGTCCAGGACGGACCGAAACGTCGTCGTTTCTTCACTTTCCCAAATCACTGTGTGGTTTGGTCAACATTTTTCAGTCACGTTATTGTGACTCTTCGTCTGTGTATACTTACTGCCTTATATAGCTACTCCCTCACTTATATACTTACTCCCTCACTTATATACTTACGCCATAATATAGCTACTCCCTAACTTATAACCCTCGGTGTATAGCCCATAATTTCTCCTCCTCATGCAAGACATGGGCTGTACACAACCCAATGTGTCGTGTCGTCTGACGCCAATAACACTAAAATCAGTATGAAAACTGGCTCGCTGGAAGACAGAAAAATATTAAATTATCGAGGTCTTGCAAGAGACAAGTGAAAACGACATGATGTTTAACGGTGGCAAACGGTAAGATAAACAGTGGATTAACTTATTTTTACGAACAGAAAAATACTTTTAAATGAGTTGAGGATGTAAGAAGCTGCCAGATATCTTTAAGGAGCAGATTAACCAAATCAAACTCTAGTAATAATATAAGCAATATTAGAGAGCGCATTAAAGCAAGCGCATCAACAGCCAAACCAATAATTAGATGATTTTTTATTAATATATTAGGTACATCTGCATTTGTGTAGCTACCCTAGACTATATGAAAGGGGCGTACATTGTGTCAAAAAGCTTGCTACGTGATGCTAAAAAAATCCCCATCACACAGGATGGTTAGTCATACAGAGACGTGATAAGTAGTCTGCACTAGCAGACTCTGGGTGCATTATGAGGATATCATCAACACAAGAGTGAATAAGGTAGCAGTGCAACCCGTCCTCTTAAAAATAACGTCACTTTTGCCTCGTATGCGCACTATGGCCAAATTTGGACGTAATATGAAATGAAATCGACTCACAAAAGTGACGTACTGTTCCGTTTTCTGTTTGAGTCGTCCGGTCCTCCTCGGCAAGCTTAGAAGAGGAACTTTCAATTAACGTTTTGAAACTTCATTGGAATTTCCTGCCCACCTAACCTATCAGAGGACCCTTAGCTTACTGTTGTTGAAAAAAAATATCCCAAATTTATTTTCAAATTTTTTTAATTTTCAAATTACGTCCATATTCGGCCATACGGGCAAACGGCCAAAAGCGACGTTTTTTTAAGAGGACAGGTTCCAGTGATACTAAAAGTCCCCATCTCGCAGGGTGAGAGCCTTGAGAACAAGAGATATCACACCATTGATGACAGCGTTCAGAGCACTGATGCTCTCACGCATGGAATATTGTATTGTGCTATTATCCCCCTCTTTCAAGGAGCCAGATGGCTCCCTAAATATACGAGCCAGAAAATGCACAGAAGATATTTTACTTACCGCATAGAATAAGTCAAGTATTTAAAGTATTGGGACCGCCAAATGTTCCGTAAAATAATAGTAGCAGAGAGATATCTCTCCATGTAAATATGGCAAGTACTGGAAGATCAGAATCCGAACCGGTACATAAAAAGAAATATAGCGGTTCCAGGGCCAAGCCAGCACGGTTCCAGACCAAGCCAGCACGGTTCCAGACCAAGTCAGCACGGCTCCAGACCAAGCTTCTACTGCACAAAAACACTTGAAATCGACAAACCACATAAGCACTGCCACGTACTGAATTAAACTGCTGTTTACCATCATATTATACCATACTCAGTTTAAATGCACTGCGCTGTATAATATTTCCTGTATGTCATAATTCATCATGTGTAATCATACAGCTGTATTTGATTGATTTGTATTATTGCCTTGTGAAGTATGGTGTTATACTTCAGTGTGGCCCTGTACGGAGACCTCCTGTCCCCCTCCCACAGGCAAGACGCCCCTGCACGAGGCTGCCTGGTTTGGACGTCAGGACGTAGTCGAGGTCCTGCTCCAGGGAGACGCTGACCTCACCGCCACCGACGATCATGGTACGTTTCTCAGCCTTCAGGGATCCAGAGGTATATCCTATAAGATCCTTGGAGTTAAAACTTAGAGCATATAGCATCCCATAGCGTCTGAGACGCTCGGCCCCTGGGGTAGGAGTGTCTTGGGCTTTCTCAAAGAGTTAGGTTCCAGGTTCGTTGACGCCACCAGGGACCCTAGAGCTACCAGTTTTCTGTATCAGCGCCTTTATCACACTTTATCAAGTTAATAATGCAAAAAGTAGTTTACTGGTCGTCCATCATGTTGGTACTTTCGACCAAAAAGATGTAATAAATACTTTCATTTTAAGAGGATTTGATGAAGGTTCCCGAAGTTAAAACTTTGACGACACACAGTATATGACTTTGAGGCAATATCAGGGTTACGATTCAAATATTATTATGATTTTTTTTACAGCATACCTGGGGAGTGTTGTGTCCTTTGGAGGGGGGAGGGGTGACCTGTAGGGTGCGACCTGGGAGTTATTGACCAGGTAGGTGTTGACCTGTGATGTGTTGACCAGGAGTTATGACCTGCAGGTAAGGGGCCGCTGCACGAGGCTGCGTGGCTGGGTCGGGACGAGGTCGTCGAGACGCTACTGGACCACGACGCAGACGTCGCCGCTGTGGACAACAACGGTACTGTGCTGCCTCATTGTCTGTGGTACAAATGTTGATTAATTATCTATGCATGAGGCACAACAGACCTGATAACTTTAACCCACCTTGATGACCAGACACTAGAATGTGAAGGGACGACGACGTTTCGGTCCGTCCTGGACCATTTTCAATCGACTTGAGAATGGTCCAGGACGGACCGAAACGTCGTCGTCCCTTCACATTCTAGTGTGTGGTCTGGTCATCATACTTTAGCCACGTTATTGTGACTCATCGCCTGTTTAACCCACCTTGGCCAGTAGGTGGATGGGTGAGCGGCATGTTTACCTTTGAGGCAAAATGTATCCTGGGATCTTCAGTCACACCTGTTGATAAAATGTGAAAAAATATCGCTTATAAATAATGCATGTCAATTATATCATGTTGCAGATGCAATCCCAACTGTCCGGCATATCCTGCAGGACAGTTCGGTATGAGGTCACGACACTGCACTATGCATGACCTCTAATAACCTCGTTAACAACCTCTGTAGGTCAGAAGACCTTGCACTATTTACTACGTCCCATAACTTGGCTAACAGCTTCGTCCGCCTCTCCATAGGTCAGACGCCCTTGCACTATGCAGCAGAGCAGCAGAAGGCTCTGGTGGCGGAGTTGCTGCTCGCTAAACAGGCTGACACTGAGGCTAAAGACTTGGAAGGTAAAGTCAGCCAGTTCATTATAATTACTCAATTATCTCAATATGATTACTCAATTATCTCATGATTACTCAATTATCTCAATATGATTATTCAATTATTTCATTATGATTACTCAATTATCTCAATATGATTACTCAATTATCTCATTATGATTACTCAATTATTTCATTATGATTATTCAATTATCTCATTATTACTCAATTATCTGAATTCACTTCACCGTTTTTTTTCTGTCATAGAAGTAGTCTATTTCAATGAGTAGCTTACAAATTATGGGTATACTTTTTTATTTTTAAATAGCAGTATTTTTCACCGCTAATTTCAGTGTTTGGTTAGTATATTTCAGCCTTGTTTACAGAAATATTTTATCATGTCTTTTTTCAATTAGCAGTGACCTTTTTCACTTCTATTTTTATATATATATTTTTCACTATTGATGAGAGACTGTTGTCGAAGAACTGATTTTTAAAAGAGACAAATGTTAGTAATGAATATAAAAATAATTTAGAGAGCCTCATATAAATTGTTTTCATATTGAATTTGTAATTGAAATAAGTTTATCTCGATGTTGACCAGACCACACTAGAAAGTGAAGGGACGACGACGTTTCGATCCGTCCTGGACCATTCTTAAGTAGATTGTGAGAACTCAATCTATTTGAGAATGGTCCAGGACGGACCGAAACGTCGTCATCCCTTCACTCTAGTGTGTGGTCTGATCAACATACTTTAGCCACGTTATTGTATCTCCTCAGCTGCATGTTTATCTAGAACTAAAAGACTGAGGTTGCACACTCTACTACGTCCCAGTTCAGGACAACATAGTCATGAATTTTCACATCACAAACCATACGTGTATTTACACACATCACAAGCAATATTTGTATTTACACACATCACAAACAATACGTATTTACACAAATCATAATTTTCACAAATTTGTGTTTATGTAAATCAAATATTATTCAATTAACACTATTAATTGGAAGAAATAGGGAGTCATGCTATGTCAAACTTTGGGTTTCACATTCCTTGCGCTCAGTCAAATGATGGTTAACATAATTACTGATTGAAGGCACAGTGTTCGCTAAACCCCCACAGTTGATGGTACAGTATACACTACACCACCTCAGTTGCAAGGTCTACAGGTAGACCTCACTTTCCCGTAGTCACTGTTAAGTAAACATCCCCACACACTCATCAGTATGAGGAAATGAGTCACGTGTCTGCGACAGGACTCACACCACTCCACTACGCCGCGTGGTTTGGGCGGACTGAGGTCGTGGCTGTGCTGTTGAATCACGGCGCTGACATCTCTGCCAGGGATAACTTAGGTAAGTACTTGCGGTGACATCGCTGTCAGGGATACATTAGGTAACTTGAGCTGACATCGCTGCCAGGGATAACTTAGGTAAATACTTGCCTGACATCACTGCCAGTGATACCTTAAGTAAGTACGTGTGCTGACACCCCTACCAGGGATAACTTAGGTAAGTACTCACCCGACTACCACAATGCACAACGTTAGGTGTAAATTTAACGTTGTGTAAATTATATTAAGTATAATACATTCTACAGTTAATTTTTATTCTTCTAGTCATCCTTGAACAAATATAACATTTCGATATATATCCTCCTCCAATTAAACCAAGATGCAAGAGCACTAGTCAGAGGGATGGAAGCCCTAAACAAGAAAATAATCAACACGGAAGATGCAGACAAATTCAATTAAACATGTCAGGTCATTTGCTACACCTGTCCTGCAGAGCCTGCATGCCAGAGACACTGGGTTAAGATTCAGTGGTTCCTGTTTTATCCATTTCTTAAAAATTCGATGCTGCCTGACGTTTGCCGTTTTCCATGTTTGGTAGCTCGTGTCTAATGACTATGTTTCCTAAAGAGAGAGAGAGAGAACGAGTGTGTGTGTGTGTAGGGAACGGTGGTTAAAATGGCTAAAAATCACCCTGGCCTAGTCAACAATGACCCCACACCAATCTACCCTCCCGCAGGTCAATCTCCACTCCACTACGCCGTCGACCACAAGGAGCTGGGCGTGGCCACAATGCTCCTTAACCACGGCGCCGACCCAGACGCCATCGACAACAACGGTAAGATATTGCCAAGTATACGCTCCACAAGTTTATGGAGTGAACAAATCAAGGGTGCGGACGGCCTTATATGTGTGTAGACGCCGGGCTGGGTGAGCAACCCGTCTTATCGAGCTTTCACGTCATTAAACTGATGTACTAACTTACCCGAACCTAACCTGAACAAGGACCCACGAATAGATAATGGGACGTCACGTCGATGTTGCGAGTTGCTAAGCTTTTTAGTATATTAGGTTTGCGGGTTTTAGTTGTCAAAATGCTATTGGAGAGGACGGGCTGCTGCGGATGAGAGCGGTTCTAAACTAATGATGTGATTAATACTGAAGTGCCTTTCTGTTCCTTAAGTGGTTATGATTTATTTTCCGTCAAGTCTTATTTCTTTTTGTAGTTTGGTTTTACAAGGAGAGATTGGGATGCCTGGGGGTCTAATCAGAGTTTCTGTTAATTATATGTAGCTATTGCAATTAATCAATGAAAAACTTTACTCATAAATAGTAGTACATTTATAATTGGGAAAGTTTACTCATAAGTAAATTAATTACAAAAAGAGTCACAATTAATTACAAAAGAGTGTCACAATAACATAATATCTCGCAGACATTACGTTTGAAACGTGCACACACACACACACACACAATGAAAATAAAAAGACTGGACTATATTGAAGACTATATTAAAAGACTTTGGACTGGAAAAAGTCCAAAGGTATGCTACTAGACTAGTCCCAGAACTAAGAGGCATGAGTTATGAGGAAAGGCTGCGGGAAATGCACCTCACGACACTGGAAGACAGAAGAGTAAGGGGGGACATGATCACAACCTACAAAATCCTCAGGGGAATCGACCGGGTAAACAAGGACGAACTTTTCAACACTGGTGGGACGCAAACAAGGGGACACAGGTGGAAGCTGAGTACCCAAATGAGCCACAGAGACGTTAGAAAGAACTTTTTCAGTGTCAGAGTAGTTAGCAAATGGAATGCATTAGGAAGTGATGTGGTGGAGGCTGACTCCATTCACAGTTTCAAATGTAGATATGATAGAGCCCAATAGGCTCAGGAATCTGTACACCAGTTGATTGACGGTTGAGAGGCGGGACCAAAGAGCCAGAGCTCAACCCCCGCAAGCACAATTAGGTGAGTACAATTAGGTGAGTACACACACACACACACACACACACACTACGTTTTCTTTGATTGCTAAGGTCATCTTTTTATTTTCACAGGTGGGTTTTTAAAAGTATGTAGAATAATATATGAATAAAACATAGCTGAAGTACTAAGGATGTCATACAATTTTAACGTTGTATATACTGTAATTATAACGGGGACTACAGAGGAACATTGAACATACTGTAATTATAACAGAGACGACCCAAGATGTATTATTATTTTTTCTAGCATTTATGTTGTTAATTAATTTATAATATACTATTGGTTTGACAATTATTTTGTGTGTTAATCAATATTTATATCTTATGAATGTAAACATAATTTGGTGTTGGGACTTAAAGGCAGCAAATAATAAAGCTTAATACCTCTTAGTACATAACTATCCCTGGGGCCAGATTGACGAAGCAGTTACGCAAGTACTTACGAACGTGTACATCTTTCCTCAATCTTTGACTTCTTTGGTTACATTTATTTAACAGTTTACAAGCATAAAAACTTGCCAATCAACCGTTGCTATGGTTAAAAGTAGCCTCCTGGTGCTTCGGAGCTCATTAACTGTTTAATAATTGTAAACAAAGCCGCCAAAAATTGAGAAAAGATGTACAGGTTCGTAAGTGTTTGCATAACTTCTTCGTGAATCTAACCCCTGATCTGCCTATGAATTTATCAAACTGCATAGGCACACTTTCAAAATTATTAATGCCAGGCTTCATTCATTATTTGTTCATTCATTTACCTGTTATCGATGTATTTTAAGGAAACACAGTGCTACACTTGGCCGTTCGAGACAGGAACGTTAATATGATCAAGATTCTGTTGCTTTTCTGCCCAAATTTGACCCTTCGTAACCACCAGGGTGAGTATATACTGTGTGGATGAAATGCATAAATATTGATGCTAAACAGTATGCTTATGGACTATGTAAGATTCACACACACACACACATCTATTTTGTGATCATAAGATTTTAAGGACTCGTCCAGGGATCACTTGTCCACTCACAGCTTAACATCTTTTATATACTGCAAGCTTTTTACTGCCTACGTACCTTAACACAGGTGTGTTTCCTTCCCCACTAAGGTAAGGGAGCAGCAGACGTCGCCCAGGAGAGAGGACTGTACGCCATGGCCACCCTTATACAAGGTTGGTGTGCCCAGGGGTAGTGTGGTAGAAGTGGTGTTATAGATCGTCGAACGACGTCGTTACGTCGCGGGAAGAGGCAGTTACTGAGTCGCCAGATTGTAACTAATTCGGAAACTAAGACGTATCAGAAATTATAAGAAAAATCTGTAGGAGCCATGACGAGGATTCGAACTTCTGTGTACCAGAAGTAATGTCACACAGCGGTCATGTGACCAGTATGAACCCACCTCTCAGATAGGGGTGAGAAGATAGTAATCTTCACTTCCTTATAAAAAAGTATATCATAGAAATGTTATTTTAGACGGCTGGAGTCTTGCAACCCACTGCTGACTTGGGGTTATGGCTTATCAAACAACGGCTATAAAGGAATAATAGTAGGGTAAACAATAATAAACAGGATGAAGGCTTCCTTTCCGTGAGTGACCACCTAGTGACCTACTGAGCGTTCAAAGATGGATCTTACGAGGAACAGCAATTAGTCTACTCTCGGAAAGAGATAATGGTAGTGGAAAGGCTTGGAGTCCTAGAGGGAGGGGTGTAATGGGAGAAGGAAGTGACAGTGTCTAGGAAGTAAGTATGTTTCTTCCTCTGTGGAACACCTGGATGCTATTATTTAACGTGGTTTACATTATTAAGATTTGAGAGTACTGTACTTTGCAGGTTGAATTAATTGATTTGACTTAACATTGAAGTATCTCAGAAAGTTTACTTTAGAATTAGTAGATGAAGGGAAAATATTTTTTATTGAATAGTAGGACAATAGAGCAATTAAGAAGACATGGGTTTCAAGTCAACGATCATTCAGATGAGGTTAATATTGCGGATGTCTTCTTAATTGCTCTATTGTCCTGATATATCACTTCCAGGTGCTATATAGTTATACTAGTATAGTGCTTTCCCCTCATAATTACCGAGACGGCGTGATACACTAGACTATGATGGTGAGCCAGAGGACTGCCTGTGTAGCACCACAACAGTGAGCGTACACCTGTGTTCAGGTGAGGCATTAAGAGCAGCATCAAACATTAAGTGGTAGAGTTCCATCGTGTTCTCTCACGTCTGGGGCCGGAGGCCGGCGGTACGTCATTGCTTCTGAGATTGGACTAAAAATCCTTCTTAAAATATTATTAATGTTAGTGGAACCAGGCCACAATTTTCCCACTTTTGGGCAAACAGTAGATGATCCTTTTTGTATGTATATATATATATATTGCAGTTAATTTAAATATATGTGTGCGTGTGACAGGACAGAGGTCGACGAAGTGTGTGGTGGAGGGCACCTCCTGCCTGTCGGAGGGCGGCTCAGGTGTGGCTCCCCTGCGTCACCTCACCTGCAGGACAGGCACCTGGAGGCCCCCGGCACATCCCCTCGCTCCAGACAGCCTTGGTAACACTGCTCTGGCTCCCGTATAGTGAGAAAAGACTAAACAAAAATAAATGTTCTCTTTTTTATTCAAATTTATTACCATAAATAAAATTAAATAATGTAAACAACAAATCAACGAGAAATTAATATACTTCAATTCTTTCTTAACAAAGTAATCATAGCATAGAATTTTGAAAAGTATACTTATTCTTTATTAACTTTGAATATATATTTCTACTGCAATTAAGTCATTAACTATTATTACAGACTCTCATAAGCTCATCCTACTTTAACTTTAAGTTCCGAATATATAAATCTTCAACAGTATATTAGTTGCTAATGACATCTTATATCCCATCATCAGACTGCAAGGTCTCTGGGCAGTTGTTTCGACACGGGTCTCGCTGGCATGACGGCTGTCGGGAAAACAGATGTGTCCGAGGACAGGTGTGGAAGGACGAGGAAGTGGCAGATACATGTAAGTGATGAACACACTACTGTTTGTGATACATAATTGTGTAGGGGAAGAGGAGACATAAGTAAGGGGGTAGAAATAGCCTAAGCTACTCTATCCCTTTGAGATATATTTTTTCTTGTCTCAATAAACATACTTGAACATGAGTAACATTTAACGACGGATGGTACAAAGGTACAGGTAGGTGTGAGGAGACGGCGGAGGCTGTCCTGAGGTACCAAACACCCTCTGTCTGCCTTAAGAGTGGACGACGACGGTCCGCTGTCCTTGCACACCCGCCGCCACGACTCCACAAACGGAATTACTAGGACGTCTCATTCGTTATATATTGCAAGCTCGCCTCGCGTATAATGTTAGTAGGGACGACTAGACTTGAAGGATGATATATGTCCTCACCTTCAACCTCACGTTAGCATGCTCGATGATGAGTCCCTCCAACACATGGCCGAGTCTACCATTGTGTTAGAGCGTCACAAGATATATAATAGTCTACGTCTCCAGATAAGCTGTTCAACGCGTTTTTTCTGTGTTTTCATGTCTCTACACTAGGATTTTCGTGTGCTGTGGAGACGTTTGAAACATAAGAAATTATCATATAAATGTTATTTTTTATGGATTTTGATGTATTCGTCTAGTTGAGCTTGCAGGGGGGGTTGAGCTTCGGCTCTTTGGTCCCGCCTCTCAACTGTCAATGAACTGGTGAGACAGTTTGTAAATGTTTGGTATCATTTGTGTCACTCGGCGCTCATCATATTCCAATATGTCAGTATCCTTTCTCAAATATACAGGCAGCAAGGCACAACAGCCTGGCTGAACATTAGACGTCCAACCTACACACAAAATGAAGGAAGTGGTGACGTTTCGGTCCCTCACGCCCATTATAAAGACCATTATCACAAGACTTGATAATGGTTCAAAACCGACCGAAACTCGAGAGCTCTGGTGCGCAATAGTCTTCTGCATAATCCCTTCACAACTTAAAAGTCCCGAGTTCAATTTCCGCGCATAATGGAAACGTTTGGGCAATGTTTCCTTTCACCTGATGCCTCTGGTCATGTATTAGCAAATATATGACCTAGGGAGTTCTCGATAAACTTAAATCAAATACAGATTCAGTTCACTCTCCCGACTTGCCACTCCGTAAAGAATGCAACGCTTGTGCCTAACCCAAACAATCCACTTAACCTATCGAGGCCCATGCATAGAAAACGTCATTATTGCAGGGGCTTCAATTTGTATTAATGTGTCGCATTCGTAACGGATTGGTCGTTTCCGTAAAAAAAAAAAACGCACTGGCTATGAGGGCGAGTCGTTAACCACTCCCAAGGTCCTTGGTGGTCTTAGTCCTTCACTGCTGTTATTATGTTCTTCACTGTTGTTATTATGTCCTTCACTGTTGTTATTATGTCCTTCACTGTTGTTATTATGTCCTTCACTGTTGTTGTTGTGTCTTTGACTGTTGTTATTATGTCCTTCACTGTTGTTATTATGTTCTTCACTGTTGTTATTATGTCCTTCACTGTTGTTATTATGTCCTTCACTGTTGTTGTTGTGTCTTTGACTGTTGTTATTATGTCCTTCACTGTTGTTATTATGTTCTTCAACGTACGATCAATAAAATATCCCTCGACTGCCTGCAAATGTATGACAAGCTTCGCCTGGCATGGCATGAATCTAGAATGAATTATATTGGCATAAATCGCCCATTGTGTGCGGACGGTGACGAGTCGGTCAGGCCGGGAGAGCGTTCTGGTCACTATGAAGTCCTTGGAAGGGACGTGAGGGTGTAACCGTTTGAGTTAAGACGTGGGGGAGAGGAATGGTACCCCAAGCACTTCGTCGGTCGGGGATTGAACGCAGACCTGCGCTGGTGTTAGGTTGGTTCAGCGACGGTCTCGCTGGATCAGCGATGCCCAAGCTTTTGGTTGGATATCAACGGTGACGAGGAAGATCTAAAGTTTTGTCTAAAGTCGTTTTTAAATTCGAGTTTGAATACGTCGCTTTAAGCATCTCAAAATGCGGTGGTTTTCTTTTACTTGATCTCTCTCTCTCTCTCTCTCTCTCTCTCTCTCTCTCTCTCTCTCTCTCAACATTACCACAACACACAACATTAAATAAACTATTTTTAGCCAAACTACAGTTTCTAGTAAGGAGAAGCATCCTATTAAGCACAAGTCTAAACTAACAGAAGATAATAGACCTTACATAACAAGTACAAGCTTATATTTAAGTTAACAGTACAATATTATAGTAAGTTAATAATAATATAACATATGAACAAAGATTGAAATATCTTAACGATTTAATGTTTTTTTTTTCTTCTGTATCTTGATAATGTTCTCCGTATGAGAACAATTGACCTGAGTGTGGTGTTGTTCCCTGGCTGGTGGAGGCTGCCTGGTGGAGGACGAGGAGCACCGCCCGGGGTCCACCTGGCTAGAGGGTTGCCTGCTCCTGGGTTGTGATGCAGGCCACGCCACCACCCTCGCCCTCTCCGCCTCCTGTGCGTCCGCTCTCACCTATTCCTCCGTTATTATTTAATACATGAATACATTTACAGTAGGAATTAGTTGTGTCTCTATTCAGTGTGTGTGCAGACGATGAGTCACAATAACGTGGTTGAAGATATGATGATTAAAGCATTCATTAGTAGATGAATAGTCGATGACGTTTCGGTCCGTCGTAGACCATTATCAAGTCGACGAAACGTCGTCGTCTCTTCGTCTTTGTAATGTGTGGTTTCGTTATCTTCATTCAGTCTGTTCGGTTCATATGTTACAGCTATGTTAGGTGCCCTAATGTTACTGAGGTGATAACTAGAGTGTGTATGTATGTGTAGGTTGTCGGGGAGGTGACGGCCAGGTGTATCCCGAAGGCCACACCTGGCCCGAGGGTTGCCATCTGCAGGTGTGTCAAGATGGACGGCCAACACCCACAGACGTCTTACCCTCCTGTGAGTACCTTCCTTTACTCTCCTGTGAGTACCTTCCTATATCTTCCTCTCCCGCACCTCAGGGCTCTAAAAATTCACCCAGAGTGTTAAGTTACTTCACACTTGAGACAGTTTGCAAAGGTTTTAAAACATATATAACCTAACCAAACCCAGATAATCCTGGCTTAAGCAAACCCAGCCAATCCTGGCCTAACCAAACACAGCCAGTCCTAACCTAACCCATCATAACAAATATATATATACAGTTTTAACACTTATAATTCGAGCTGTGTACGACGGTGAGGCGTTTCACAGTACCTCACCAGTCAGGCATCACACCCCCCCCCTCTCCCTCTAGTGTCATCTCTCTCACCCTCTCTAAAGTGTCTTTTGTCTAGATTGTCCATCATCTGTCTCATGTTCCCTACACATGAGACACCTCATGGCTGCTGTTTCGCCCGTGACTTGTCAACCATCCGTTATTCATAAGCGCGCTATCTCTCTCTCCCTCTCCCTTCGGACCAGGTTGCAGTGTGAGAGGTGAGGTACACGGTGAGGGGTCCCGCTGGACCCTAGGCTGCTTCCACCTGGTGTGTGAGGAAGGTCAGACACGTCGAGACGGTCTTCTCTTTGCCTGTAAGTACTGTACATATCTCTTGAGAGTACTGTTCACCTCACCTCCTCCAACAGTACCTCCTTCCCAAACATGGGAAACAGTGAAACTATACGAGACCATTGACCACATAGAACTGATGTCAGGTGATGCTTTAGACGAAGTACCTTGTCTATAAGGGGGGGTAGAAATAGCCTAAGCTTCTCTATCCCTTTGAGATGTATTTCTTGCTTATCTCAATAAACATACTTGAACTTGAACCTTGTCTATTTGTTTAATGAAAACTTGCTGCATTACTATTCATGCCCGTGCAATCTCTTGGGAGGCTTAATCTTCATTAATCAATCAATCTTGTTGCAGGTAAGATGTTATTCCTGGTGGTGGTGGTGGCGGTGGCGGGGGCTGTCGTGTCTGTGGTCCTGGCCATCTCCGTCTACCGCACTAGAAGAACCCGACTCCCTCGCCAGGGTCTCGAACCCAAGCCTCAGGTGCAGCTCCCGTCCTTCCCGGAACACAACAAGCAGATGTCCAAGAAGATCCTGGAGACAGATCACTGGAAGACTTCGAGGCAGCTCAGAAGTCGCAGTGAAGAGTGAGATAGATGTGGTGGTGGATCTTACATCTCGGAAGATAAAGCTCACAGGACTGTGTTGCAGCGTCAGAAGACTTCTTACAGCTAGTTCTTACAAGCTAGAGTTTGATGCACGAAAGGTTTGTGTAAAATTAGCGGTAATCCACAAGTTACCGTGAGGCATGACAGTGACCAGTGATGACTAGCGTGACACAGCCTTCCTGGTTGTCAGTAGACAAGTACGTGACGAAGGAGGAACTCCTGGGTTGTCTAACCTTTATATAACTTACCTGAGTACCCACGAACACTCTCTCAAGTTTCAAATATACTTTATATAAATAAAAATTATTATTATTATTGAGACAATCCACTCGAGCTGTGATGACGAATCGAACCTATGCGTTGGGTGTTCCCAGCTGCACGGTCTAGTCGACCACGCCACGTCATGGTAAAAAGAATTGCAACCTAGGGGGTACTACTGCGCACTCGAGGATTCCCGAGACTTCCACTGAATCTGAAAAGGGGTTTGATTCCCCCCCATTCACTCTGGCTCTATCGTCCAGTAGTTCTATCGTCCTCTGACGCCCCCTTTTCAATACACAGATAATTCACATTATTATTATTATTATTATTATTATTATTATTATTATTTATTATCTTAGGAAAGATTCCCGACGATGGCCGGTTTATATAATAATGGTATCAACTTTTCCAAGTCTTCAGGGCGTGTGATATGAGTGACGGTTTGAGGGGAGACTCGCCCATCCGCACCCTGGTGTGACCAGCAGTGAGAAGATCGTTGCTGATTGATTGATTGGTAAAGATTAAGCTGCCCAATAAAGGTGGCACAGGCATGAATAACCCGTAAGATCGTTGCTCTTCGTGGCTGACGTGTTTGTGTTACATATACCACACATTCAGGTTATGTGTGATATATATGTATTGTAGTAATGATTTGTATATATATAATATGTGATTTTCGTGAGTATCTGATTGAAACTTCCATGTCTCTTACCTAACCAATTGAAGTGAACGGTAGAGCGACGGTCTCACTTCTTGCAGGCCGGCGTTCAATCCCCGACCGTCCAAGTGGTTGGTCACCATTCATTCCCTCAATCCTTCTCATCCCTCTTATCTATTCCAAGTGCTATGTATAGTCGTAATGGTTTATAGTGCTTCCTCCTGATAACTACCTTACCTCCCGTGTCCCCTTTGAGTGCTGCAGTGATAGGTAACAGTTTAACTAGGTCATAAATATGTGAAGTATGGGTTGTTCTTGCCTTAACCTGGAGTCACTCAACTGGACGACCATGTCCTTCTGTCTTGACTGAGATTGTGTACACCGTTGAGTAAAGAGAATCACACCGTGTGTTAAGATTAAGTTACTTAGTAAATTAACTGTTAAATGAGCACATGCGTATGTTTTTTTTTATTCCTTCTCCCTCAAATCTAGTTGCGCGTCCTCTTATTCTAGAAATGATGCTAGCATACATAGTCATTTAAACTTGTGACGACGAACCGTGAACAATTTAATCCTCGGTATATTGATTGGCTGATAGAACGAAAAATATCCAACACGGTTCCGTGGACATTTGTTGAGAGCAGTTTCTCCGCAGTGAAAAATAACATCTCGACCAGATGATACTCTGAATTGTGTGTCAAGTCCGCTACGGGCTCACCATAGTCAAGTGCTACTTAGAAATTCTGTTCCGAGTAGCTGAATCAAAAACAGCAACAACACTGAATTGTGTGCCTTGCTCTAGACACTTTGCTAATTCTTTGATAATCTCTGTGAGCTGTCTGTCAAATGTAAATTTGAGATATTGCATGCGGGCGTTTGTCAGGAAACTAAGAAGATCGGACAGTTTATAATTTAAAAATTCATAATAAATAATCCACACTCAGACTATGCTAGGCTAAGCTGCGGCCGACCACAAACATAAAGGGACGTTAATGAATTATGTTTTAAAACTGCTCTTCGTTAATGTGAGTTATCATCTCACACTGTGACTGTCTCCTACCAGTTAGATACACTACTATCTTAGTTAGTTACTACTAAGTTAGCATTGTAAATGTGTGGCCACGTCTGTGGTAGAAAATAATAATAATAAAAAACCTACTATCTTGTTCACTACTATGGGTCCTTGGACCCATACTGTTCCTTGTATATGGCAGTGACATATGAACGGGAGTTGAGTTCAACATATCAGTGTTCGTGAGCTATACAGAATTAATGAGAAGTGCCGAGAAAAACAATTGTAGAATTGTCAGGAAAAGTCTGGACAGACTGTGGAGTTAGTCCGAGAAATCACAGCTGACATTCAATAACAAAAGGTTTAAGATAACACAACATGGGAGAGGAGACTAGCAGGAAGAGGTACACGATGAAGGGAACCAACTTCCTGAATCAAACCAAACACTCGCCATTAGACGCTGGACCTAATGGTGTTAGAATAGACAAAAGAGATATACAGGTATATATATTTATTTTATTTGAATTTATTTATATATACAAGAGTTCTTACATTCTTGTACAGCCACCAGCACGCATAGCGTTTCGGCCAGGTCCTTAATCCTAATATTCCCCGTAATACGACCCGCCAAATCATTTAACAACCAAGTACCCAATCACTGCTGGGGGAACAGAAGTTACAGTTAAGGATTGGCGACAAGTAAATCCTCCCCCGGCCAGGATACGAACCCAGACCAAAGTGCTCACGAAGCGCCGAGCGACTGTTTTATCACTACGCCGCGGGGACTATCATATAAGATATATAATACCACATGTAAGTATGGGGTACCCTCCCCGAGAAGGCGCTCAGACTCCGAGGGGTGGCTCCAGGGGGGGGCTTCATGGGGGGTGGTGGTGTTGAAGTGGCGAGGAACGCTGGCCGATTCTGTCCCAGTTAACCACCGGTGTGTTGTCTCGTCGTGTCGGTTCACATTTAAAGTGTGTTTATATAGCCTTCAGCGCGTCAATTAGTAAGTAGTTATATAAAAGCATTTAATAATATTAACCGTTATGTTTTCATTATTAATAATTCGTTAAAAATAACTTGAAGTGTGCAGTAAATTAAAATATATACTGCGTAAAAGCACTTAATTATTAAGCTCACCATAGCCCGTGCTACTTGGAACTTTATTCCAAGTAGCGAATCTTTAACAACATTATGTGCGTTTTAAGTCTCTACAGCTGAAGTAGGTGTGAGTTAGTGTATGTGTAATGTAATTTGTATAGCCTTGATATTACATGAATTCATATATGTATATGCAAAGATAAATGTGCATTGATTTTACTCAGGATGAGCTTGTAGCTGGTTTTTAATCTACACTGTGTGATCTTTCACACATAATAGGGTAGCGCCAAAGTCTGGAGAGCAGCACACACAATCGGTGAAAAACTCCTCCTAGCAAACATTCCTAACTGCAATAGTACGATGCAAAATGGTAAAAATGTGGGAAATATGTTGTGCAACATACTATAGGGACAACAGAATTTGTATAAGTTGCACGAGTCAACTTTACCGGGTAATGCATCTCTGATACTTGCTTATGTGCGCGTTATAAGAAGATAAAAGTTAAACCAACAAGTTGTTATTGTTAAACCAAGGAGTCTGTGTCGCGTTGTGGAACAGTTCTTCAAAGAAAACGAGAGGTCCCTTTCTAACATGTCTTATGCAGCTGAGGAGAATGAAAAAAACCGGGTGGATGGAGCGACTTCAATGACTGGTTGCTATCGTGGATTTGTTGATAATTGGGAAAAAAAACTATTACAATTATCCATTCATTGTGTTGACCATCGCCAACATCTGACTGAAAAAAACGAGATTTTTAGTCACGAGATATTTTTATATTATATTATAATATAAAATATTTATTTTATATAAATATTTATATATATATATATATATATATATATATATATATATATATATATATATATATATATATATATATATATGTCGTACCTAGTAGCCAGAACGCACTTCTCAGCCTACTATGCAAGGCCCGATTTGCCTAATAAGCCAAGTTTTCATGAACTAATATATTTTCTCTAATTTTTTTCTTATGAAAGGATAAAGCTACCCATTTGATTATGTATGAGGTTAATTATTTTTTATTGGAGTTAAAATTAACGTAGATATATGACCGAACCTAACCTAACCTATCTTTATAGGTTAGGTTAGGTTAGGTAGCAGAAAAAGTTTGGTTAGGTTAGGTAGATTAGGTAGTCGTAAAACAATTACTTCATGAAAACTTGGCTTATTAGGCAAATCGGGCCTTGCATAGTAGGCTCAGAAGTGCGTTCTGGCTACTAGGTACGACATATATATATATATATATATATATATATATATATATATATATATATATATATATATATATATATATATATATATATATATATATATATATATATATATATATTTATTTTATATAAATATTTATTATATAAATAAATGTATATTTTCGTGATATACACACATATAATATTTATTATTATATAATTTTTTTAGGGTACCACCACCTCCTGGTGCAAGTGTAGAGACCCATAGCCTCGGAGAAGAAAATATTATATAGATATTTTTTTTAAATAATCTCTACGATTATTTCCAAATTAAATAGTTTCAAGTATAATATTGACCATTGTGAAATTTAGTAATTTCCAAGCTGGTCAGACCAAGAAAACCAGGCTACATGACGATGATTTAAGTGTTTTTCTGAGACTATTGAGTTACGTTGCATGATGTGCCTCAGGGATTTGAGGATCATCACTTGTTGGACATTCCAGATTGTCTATTTTCATATTCTGAAGCAGTTGGAGTAGAGGAGGAACTAAGTGAGTTGCAAAAGGACATTGAACAGAAGCCAAAGTTTAACAAAAAATCATACCAAGAATTTTGGTTGCAAAGATAAATTTCTGGTTCTCTATTCTGCATTACAGTGGTAAAAACTCTCAAGCTTACATTATCATATTTAGTGGAGCGTAGTTGCAGCTCAGTCGTTCAACTTCTCACGAAGCAAAGAAATCTACTTCAGATTACTGAACGTATGGATTTAAAACTGCTGATAAGTACCATTAAACCTGTCATTGGAACACTGATTTAAACTCATCAACTACATTACCAGCGGTGAAGAGATTGGGACTTAAGTCTGAAGTACCCTTGATTACCTCACTGTTTGTACTATTTAAATGGCATTCAGACTTTGTGAATCTAATATATCAGGGTTTTTATTGAGCGTACGAGTAAATTAATCTGAGCCCATCCTCAGAATAGACAGTACGTTTTAATATTAAATGTAACAAGTACAATCTTGACTATCGGCATAATATATAAATAAACTTACAGGTGCCCTTACATTTACCTCCTCACATATTCTCCTACTTTTGTGATGATACACTCAAAATTTTATACTTGTATACTGTATCTAAACTTTACATGGAAAGTTTTAAATATAAAGAATTTCTTTTTCAGTTATATTAAACAATAGAGATTTTATACAAAATTTGAAAATAACCAGTTACTTTATAATTTATTGAAATATTTCAGTTTTGTTTTATTAATTTTATAAAATTGTAATATCAATATAGCTACAGGTTACGTACTAATTGTAATTAGAAAACAATAAATGCTATTTACATGCTTGTCCTTCTACACTCTCAAGGTCGTCTGTGGTCGTGGTTTTCTATACAGCTTTTCGGGTAAACTCTAATATTTACAATATTTTAGTGCGATGCTGGCGATTAAGTGTATTTATGTACTATGCCGATAATCAGGAATATACTTATTACAGTTAGTATTAAAACGTACTGTCTATTCGGAGGATGGGCCGATTAATCCTACTGTTATAAATTTTCTTCTAACAACATCTTCCCTAGCAGGTTACCTTACCTTGAGGTTACCTTGAGGTGCTTCCGGGGCTTAGCGTCCTCGCGGCCCGGTCGTCGACCAGGCCTCCTGGTTGCTTACATCCGTTACACAATGGTTAGAATACCGGTCTGTTAATCTTGGGGTTCCAGGTTCGATTCTCGATCGAGTTAGGTTTATATGACTGGCGTGGATTTCGGAAGTGCAGAATTCATCACTCTACCTTCTGGCTTAAAAGTAGATCACAGTTACGACATTGGTGGTCCAAATTTGAGGCACCGGGGGAATGAGCTTATTGAGCCAGAAGGGCGGAAGTAAAATAAAGTTTGGGAATGGTTGCATTAAACTAGCGGAGGCTTTACGGGCTATTCATGCCCGTGCTACCTTTTGGGTGCCTTTATCAATCAATCAGCGGTGGCTGGAAGGTGGGTGTCTAGTAACTGCAGCTTTATGCAAGCGCAAATAAGTGAATACAGCACACACAAAGCCCAAGTGTGTGTGTGCTACGGTGCTTGTAGGTTCTGCAGCCGTGGAGGCTACGACT